AGCAGAGGGACTTCATTAAAAGGTCAACAATTAAATCAGTCATTCTCCTTGTTAACTACTTAAAAATTGCTTTTGCAAAAACCAAACAACACAGCAAGAGCAAAATTATCACGCTGAGCCTTTCTTCTGAGTGTTTGCTATTCATGTCAGTTCTCAGTGAGTTACAGGACCTTCCCAAAGGACTGAGATTAACCCCATCACATTTTCCCACAGCTTCCTTAATGGGTGATCTGAAAATCACATATGCAGATAGCAATTCAGCTGCAGGTACCAGGCAGAGATGAGTCACGACCACGCTAACACAGACACAATGCAGATTTGGTGTGTATGCTGGCTTCTAGTCCAGGTATGGTCTCTCCAAACCATCTCCCCAGGACCTGGCTCAGGCTACTCATGCCATTATTGTATCCCTGGCTACAAAGCCAGATCTTACTCCTAAAACCAGTTCTACCCAGAAGCATCAGTATTAGAGGAGGACACTGAACTGTTGCTCGATGCTTCAGGCAGTCCTCCCACAGCACAGGGGTGGGCATTTAACAACCTCCCTTCCTACCCCCAAAAAGGGGAGAATAATCTCCTCCAGCAGACAGGAGGAATGAAGAAGAGGCTCTGCTGCCTACACCTTCCCGGGAGTAAGGGCTTCTTCTCCTAACATTTTGGTGAAAGTGTTGAGCACACAGTAACATTTTGCGTTTTGCTGCTCTTGTGCTAACCGCACTGTAATCACAAGCAGTCCTGCCTCATCTGGACAAGGAATCTAGTTTTCAAGGGAAGCACAGCTGAGAAAGGCTTCAAACAGGATCTGATTAGCCGATTAAAAACAGATGCTCTGCTGGCAGACAGGCTGCTGTGGATCATCTGATACAATCCCCTTCCCCTCGTTTTTGTACATAATGTCCTTCCAAGCAAAGCCACCTCCCCCATAGCTATGTCTAAATTGCATTAGGAATCCTGGCATTTTTTCAGTTATACATGTTGTGAATGGTTTTGCCATTTAAAATATTTTAGAGGGATTATAGAGTCAAGTAGTTGACTGCTTATCAGATTTTAAGCATACAAGCTAAGAGGGCTCTGTATCCCAGTACTGAGACAATAATACATCTTTCTCTCATTCAACTTTGGAAGGAAACAGCACCTTGCAGCAGGTTTGCTTGCCTCTCACTGCTCCCCTATGGCTTAGGGCTGCTTTAGCTCATCCACATCTTCATCTCAGCCTGGCACAGAGACTGCATGATGCTGGTCTACGTACTCAGTCATTTATCCCTCTAACTAAGGACTGATTCCTTTCCCATGGGAGACCAAAGAAAATCCAGTGGGCCAGTTGCCTTAGCAGTACAGGCTAGGTATTGGTGTTAAGTCCTCCTTGGCATTGGAGGATCACAAACTGAATTGCTCCAGGTAGACTACTTCCTACCCTCTTCTCCAAACTCAGCTGAAACTTTTCCCTTACTCTCTCAAGACTGCACTTGCTAACAGAAGTCACTGGGATCAGTTCCTACTTAGCCAGAATCAACATATTCAGGAATTGCTGTAATATGCTTAGAGGTGCACATAAGTTTCAGATATGGACTATTCATTTGGTTGCTTGGTCACAGATGTAACAGGAGATTCATCCCGGAGAGGCGAAGGAAAGGGGATAACTCCTTTTGCTCTTGTTTTTCAGTTTGACAAAGAAGGGCTGATATCAGCTTGTTGAATAGAAGAACCATCTAAATTAATTTCACATGGAGTGTCTGCTCTCAACAGCAGGACGCTAATCCTTTGCAGCACTACAGCCACGTAAGTGCTCAGGGACAGCGCGGGGAGAAGGCCTCCTTCAGCGCAAAGCTGAGGCAACAGAGGCATACGCGACAGGAAAAACAGGGGTTTAGGCTACTGCTGGGGAAGAGAAGATGCCAGAGAAAACTCAGCAGCTCTGTTTTCATTCTAGGATCTTGTAAACAGGGGAGCAAAGCTCGGCTTCAAGTGTACATGGCAAATTCACACCGGCTCAACGGCCTGTACAAAGCTGACATTCTGACTTTGCTCACAACTTTTTGCCACTTCCTACTCCCAACAGCATCGGGTTAAGAAACAAGTACAAAACACAACAGGAGAAGCAGCCACCAGACACTTTACCTTTCACTGCCTTGGCAATTGCTTCAAACTCTGGCATGGCCAAACAACAGGTAAACCAAGATACTTTGAGTCACCTGTCCATGGTCAGACATCAGCTTGACAGACTCTGGCTCTTAAGACATCTAATCACAGTGTCAGCAAGGGAAGACAGGATGCTTTCAGAAGAGGTGTGGCTAACGAGTGCCTAAGCACCACATCTGAGTTTTACTGACAATGATGTCACTCTACTGTCAACATCACACAGGGCATTACAGTGGTAATAACACCACTTATAATTACGCTAATACACTTCTCTACAGAGACTCCCTTTTTGAGCCTGCAGATTATGTAAAATAGCTTTAACCAAGGGACTAAAACCTTCATCAGAACTTTTAATCCTGCCGTGACTGCACTGGGTAGGGGTGTTAAAATGCACACAGTTACGACATAGACTACCTCCCTGGCCTCTTCAAGAGGAAAGCATTGTATCCACCCTTAACTAGGACACGCCAATGTTTATCTCAGCCTAAACCAAATGCAGTTCAGCTGGTTTAATGCAATTTTTTTGCATATCAGAATTAAAGTTTTAACATTTTAATAGCAATGAATATTCTGAGTACTTCAATGATTTGGTTTTTTTCACTGGCATGTTACATCTAAAAGTCTCCATTAAAAAAAAAAAATTGGTAAATTGCCACAACTCCAGACTCACTGGAAAATGCAGGATCTTTGCAGCACAATGCAGGTCTGTCCTGCCACTGAGATTTGTGAGACTTGGGTAAAAAAGAAAAAAAAAAAGAATTAAAGCAAAATCTTTCAAGGGAAAAATATACACAATAAGATGCACAGTGCCAAGATCTCCTTCTTGCTTTGCAAATGCTCTGGAGGCACATTCGCACTTCACTGAGCCAAGTCATTTCTTAAAATGACTGGACTAGAGTTTGAAAAACGTGCAGACTGAGTCCTAAGAAGAACTGTTTAGGTTTTATAACTCTGAGCCATCTGTGAGCTAAAGGGACAGAAACCATCTAAAAACTGTGAGGCTGAGAGTTTGGTTTTCACAATATGCTCTGAATCACCTTTAATCTGCCTATTAAGTGGACACTGGCTATTCTGCAACAGCCTCACTGAAAATTCCATGGGTGTGAAAAACAGCAGATGGTTAATGGGGGTGGAAAGCTATACAAATTGTTAGAGAAGCATGGAAAATTCATGGTTGGCTATAAAAGCCACCAGACAAGGGCAGCTGTAAACAGCTAGGTGAAAAGAGGAGGTATGGACATGTGGTAGCTGCTCTGTACAGACCGCTGCTATTTCCTTCTCAAAAACCACCAGAAGAATGCTGAAAGAATCACACCTGAACTGAGTATAAGGTGCAACACTCCTAAGTATTAACACCAAGGTGGTTTTCTGTTGTGCCACAGTTTCCAGCTTTTAGCAGCACCTTGGATCTGATAATTGAATCACAGAAGGACCCTGGGAGACACTTAAAAAGCAAACCCACTTGCTTTTTATATGTTATATATGCATGACTGTCAAACCCCAGCCAAGTTATTATCTTAATCTGTAACTGACATACCAACATACTGAGGATACATGGAATACATACACAACATTAAGCCAGGAGGCCAAAGTAGGAAAGAAAGGAAACTCAGTATAGCCCATCTTTCACTGCACTCCTAACTTAGAAAAGCCCAACACTCAGACTGCAAACAGAAGTTGTGTCATGCAGACATCAGATGACCAAGTCAGGATTTTTTTCCTGTTTATCCCAATAATTTCCAGTATTTTTAAACAGCAGAGAGATATCTATCTCCAATCAACTCAATGGGCACAAATAACCACCTTCTAAGATACCTCAGGATGACTTTTGCTTATGCTTAAAAAAGGGAGTTATTGCAGAAGTGGCAGAACAAGGAAAACCAAAGTTTGGTAAAGAGAAAGTAGCAGATATAAGTTAGGGCAGGAAAGCAGCTAGAATGAAAACATGAAAATCATACCATCATTTTAATATTCACTACTGCTGTGGCATTCTTACCAGGGATTCCATCCTTCTGTATTTGGGATTGCCACCCCTGATTAAGTTTTATAAGGCAGCCTTCTCCCTCCTCTTTTAACTTTCTATTTGCAAGCCGAAAAAAACTTTTCACCTCCAGTTCCATAAGTACCCTGTGGCGGAGCTCTTTTACATGTATCACGTCTGTCAAAAAAAAATAATCAGTGAGCATCCGTGTAACAGGAAATAAAAGGGACACTGATATCTCTAAGAAACAATCTGTGCCACCAGAGGTTGGGGTTGGAGTCACCGTTTCCCCCTTCCCCTCCATACACACTTCAGGCAGATGGCATTCATTTATCATACAAACACATCTGGCCATGTCAAAGGAGAACATAAACTATAGTTAGAGAAAAGAAACCGCAAATGTTTTTCAATTTTATTCTTACTGGGAGAGTAGTGGCATCCTGACATGTCGTATCATCTAATGAAAGCTGACAGGGACTTTATCAAGGCTCCTAGCTCACCTAGCATTTATGGTACTAAGTCTCGCAGTAATCTTGGCTTGGCTGTAGTGCTTTGTTCAGCCTGCAGACATGGCATTCCCAATTCCAGATAGTTTTGCTGGGTCAAGACCAAAGGGATCAGCACTAACAGAAAGGGAAAGTAATCAGATGTGAAACACAGACACCATATGATGAGCCATGTGTCAGGCTGGTATTGCACAATATTTGTACAGACCAGTCAGAAATGGGTATTACAAATGGAGTTGGAAAATGGTAATAGTTAAAAACATGATCAAGTGTTTTGGATGCGTTTCCCAGAAAAGAGAAAAGTTCGTTCAGAAATAAATGTAACAGCTTCAAAAAAAACCCAAAATAAAATGCATCGTGATCTTTAAATCAACTTTTCCATTGGATAAATATATTTGAAATAGTTGTATAGTTCACAGTGGCATAAAGTTCTCTGATTGCTTGAGTGCTTGAAAATATCTCATCAGTAAAAAAATACCAGAGCTGGGGAAGGAAAACCCTCTCTCTGAATTCTGTACATGGGCAAATGCACAGGTTTTGTGGCAGGCATCATTTGGATCCATGGGAAACCAGCAGCATCGCAGGACTACAGATCACAAGTCAGGGGATGGAGGATATGAAGAATAGTAAGGCCCATTTTCCTGCAATGAGAAGAGAATGAGCAATTGAGCAAAAGTCTCCTCCAATACACTTCAGTGCAATGGATGACCACACAGAGGCAGAAATAAACAGGTACTCCTGGCTTTGTCTTCCACAAGTACAGTGACTGCCACAATTCACCCAGGAGAGGACTGTGCTGGTAATCACACAAAAATAGGCCTCGGTTTTGCCTCTGTTTTAAGTAAAAAGTGAAGGTTAAATTTTGCCATTAAGCTAAAGCTGCAATGCAAGGAAGCCACAAATGCTAGCATAGCCAGTCACTTGAGACGAAGGTGCTTACACAAACACACAGCTCTGGCTATTACTTTGTAGTTACAGCACATCCTTTTTGGGATGATTGGCCAGTGCAAGCCATATTCATTCCACCATTTGGTTAGGGACCTGGGATGGAGAAGGGAAGAGGAGGAGGGACTAACACAAAGGCAAGGCACCCTTCTACAGTTCCATTTTTCCCCACTGCTTCTCCCTCACCCCCTTCCTGCATGCTTGTTGATATGTGGGACAGGGAAGATTAAACATAGACAGTATTTCTTTTTGCAGTAAGTGTAAGGTATATAGCCGGTATATAATACGAATTTTATCTTGTCCACAAGCTCTTAACGTGTTATGTTACAGTTCTTGGCTGAAGAAAGGTAGTCCACTTTTTATGCACATAGGATGCTGCGCTATTAGGAAAGGAGTCTGCTTCTTAGCCAAGCTCTCTACTTGGACTGATGCAGGAAAAAGAGATAAATAGAAAGCTGTTACTTATAGAAGAACAACTAGAATCTCCAGGAACTCTCTCTTTCTTCTCCCCATTCTTAAGATGTGGAACTCAGCCCCTTTAAAGCTCTTGCAGAGCAGAATGGGAGAAGCACAGGAACTACACTTTGGAGCAAAGACTCATGCTTGCCACATGCAATCACTTACCCTGGCATCATACTCTAGGACGAAAGGGGGGAGATCGATCTGTTCTGGGGGTATGGCTGTGAATAACTGCTGAAGGCTTTCCACATAGTGGATTTTGTCCTTTAGCCCTGAGACTGTAAAAGTTGTGAAAAACCATGCCGAGACCTGAAAATAAACCCCAACAAAACCAAATTAAGATGGTGCCATTTCAAAACCTTCAAGTTTAACATAATACTCCATAGTTAAACAGGCTTGAGTTAAACTTGAAACACCAATATCATGGCAATAACACAAGAAGGTCAGGAAGTACACACAGTGCTAGCAAGCACTGTCTTGAGAGTTTTCAAGCTTTTCGACTCCACACTCACTTCTCCCCAACTGCCAGTTTAAGATCCCTTTCTACTGTACAAGAGTGACAGCTATTCTGCTATTTGTCTTCAAAAACCCATCAGTATAGTGGCACATTTTCACTTCCAGTTTAGCCAGCTCAGAATATGACCTATTTGACTCTGACAGAAGCATTTTCAAGCCTTTACCTTCAAGTTTTCACAGAAAGGCAATTCAAGGGAGAGAGACTTCCAGCTGTCCAAAGGTCCTATTGAAATCTCCTCTCTGCTTTGGGCTGGCTGAGTGTGTCCTTTTGTTTTACCACATTTCTTATCAAAGCCTTATCAACTTACTCTACAAGATTTTACTTAAAGTATTCACACCTCTGTCTCTTTGGATGTAAACAAAACAAGGAATTTTTGTTTTGCAAAGGCCAGTAAGACACCATTGATACTTCTACAAGTTATTAAATATTCCTGTTTAGATTGACTGCACAAGCTTTTACTTTACAACCCACTTTCTCCAAAATCAAGCACTATATTAATTTTTGCTTATTTCTTATCTAGTCTTTTCCTGGAAGACTGAAGGGAAAGGAAAAAACCTGTTCTACAGGTTGCTAATGCTCATATTAGGGACCACTCACATGGTCCTGGGCAACCAGCTCTTGCTGACCCTGCTTGAGCAGGGAAGCTGGACCAGATGACTTCTAGAAGTCCTTTCCTACCTTGACCATTCTGTGATTCTGTTTGATAGTTGTACTTTGACTGCAGTAAGTTAACAGAAAAGAAACACCACCACAAGAAAAGCCTTGAGGGAAGTGGGAATTTCAAATAAACTAAAACATTAGGTCAATAAAAATGATGTGCCTGAATACAACATTGAAAGGAAAAGTCGATGCCTAAAAAAATTGTCCTGGAATAATTATGCTGACTCCTCAAAATAGTGTATTTTCATGAGAAAGGAACAACAAAAAAGAGAAAAGGAGGTAAAGAACAGGTCAGAACATTTCAGATTGGTTCATTATTTTAAGGGCAGAATTAGAGATTTATGCTAGCAGAAAGCAGGGAGACAGGCTATTACTGGCATCCATTATTTACTATATTTTTGTAACAAGACTTCTTATGAGTGACACTGGATGACAGTTTAATGAGTGAAAAATACCCTCTCAATCCTGTACCAAAGTAGCATGAATTCCAAGGTGTATTATGAATCATTAAACACAATTGCTATGGATGTACTGGATGTATATGGATATATACTAATGTATGAAAGCCTGATAGGGAATATTTTTGCAGCCATCATGAAAACTGGTATTGGGAAAAGTGATGTTTTTTTCTTTTCCCCCTCTCAGTATACAACCCATTGCAGGTTCACACATCTTACCCAGTAACACAGAAAAAAGGGAGGGGGACAGAAACATTTCTAGAGAATTTTTCTATTATCACCATTCTCAATAATCACAGGTTATAGAAACAGTAGTACAAGAGCAGCCATTTCCTTATTGGTAAGAGGACATAAAATTTTAAATTAAACCAAATCCCTGTTAATGCACTGAAAGCAGAATAAGTTATACCAATGTAGTCAAAAAAAAGTTAAAAATCTAGATAACTGCTGAAGTTTTCCTTCATTTTTCTTGTCGTGCAGTTCTGAATCTGAATAACAAGCTATTAAAGTCACTCTGCCAAGCTAGAAAACCGCAGACTTAAAGTATCACATGTCTTTCCCTGAAAAAACCAGCACAACACAGATCAACTGTGTCACCAATCTCTTAATGGGGTTATACCCCAAAAAGAAACTTATTAAAATTGGAAAATTTTATTACAATTGGAAGGATCTTGTGTAGAAAAAGCTGCAAGTGATTTACAACAACCTTTATATTGGCATCTGATGTCCAGAAACTGCTTTTATGACTGTTACAGAACAAGACAAAAATTGTTCATGATAAATACAAATATTATGATGATGATGAATATCTAGCTTGAGTATTCAGGTATGTTTCAGTTTTGAAACATTCTTGATTCACAGCCAAGTTACTAAATTTATGAAAACAGAATTTCTTTAGGTAAGATTGTTTCAGATCAGCCACTGATGCATCAACTCAGAACACAAGCTCTAAAAAGCTTTGTTTGTAGATCTCTCAGAAGAGGGGAACCAAGAGGATTCACACAAAAATGCCCCTAAGAGCCCTTTATTTATATGTCGGCAGCTATAGCAATAACAAGCAGAAGTACATTTACATGCAAGAGTATGAAAGAACTTGTGACAGCACTTCAAGGGTATCTGAATCTAAGGCCTGGTGTGAAGCATTTACACAGCAAGAGCTGCTGCCAGCCTAAAAACTGCTGTTGCCTATGCTGCGATTTCATCACAAGAACAAGTACATTTCAGCAGCACAAGAGAATCAAGTTCTTCACAGATCACAAGAATGCTTATATCAAAGCATAAATAAAGGCAGGATCAGTGTCCAAAAATGGATTGCACAGTGACACACCCTGCTTCAGTTATTCCATATTTTAGGATAACTGCTGATCCCTCCTTCCTGCATACCAAAACCCATGTATTCTAGACAGGCAATTATCCTCAGAACATACATAATTTAAAGCAGTTTTGTATCTAGAAACCAAACAGAGAATCATGGTTGGCACCATAAAGTACGTTGAGAACTATGCTTGTTTTCTAGGGGCATATGAGTTTCCAAGAGATGTGATGAAAAGCCTCTTGATCCCTTTCAGCCCAGAAATAAGCAAAGCAACTCTAACAGACAGCAGCCATCCACTGTGCCAGGATTCAATACTGCTGTAAAATGGACAATTTATCTCAGAGATTTACGAATGAAATATATGTACAAGGGTGATGTGTTTGGGAAGCTGCATGAATGCACAAGCCTTTCTTCTGCATTTGAGACATGGGCTATTTTCCACTACTTCTAGGAAAGGAAGTCAATGCTCCAAATAGGAAGATAAATGTGCCAAACAATTTTAAAGATATTTGAGGCTTCTGAGCTAGCAATCTTCCATGGGGACAACAGCCCTGAAATAGCCAAAAAAGGAGGGGAAAAGAAAAATCACTCCCTCTTAGCAGCCACCTTCTCCACGACAACTTTCTGCTGCATGTTCCCCATCAAGTTGCATAAGCTGATAGTCTCTGCAACAGCCAGCAGCAATCCCACTTGCCTTTCAGTTAGAGAAATGGCTTGGCAGAAAGACATGGGCACACATCCTCTTTTGCCTCCAGCTGTGCTGCTAGAATAGGATACAAACCAATTCCATTTCCAGCAAGTTAGAGCACTCTATGTCTCTCACCCTCCCTGCTTCCCACCAACTGTCTGCTTGCCCCACAGATCCGTTGAGTCCCACTGCAGTCCCCAAAGGGACATACAACATGGCAATAGACTGGGGAACATGAGTTCCCATCCTCGAAAAAAAAAAAAAAACAACCCAAAAAACCACAACCCCACCCAAAACCCCACGTTTCTCAACCAAATAGAAATGTATGGGAAGAGAGGAGGGGGATAAAGTACTGCTGAAAATCTAAAACTAGTACTTCCTAGCTTCATCTTTTCCACTCAACTTTGTGACCTTAGTAATGTTCTATGCCAGCTCCTACATTTTCAGGAACATCAGAGCTGGAAACTCTAATTCTAGCACTCAGACCTCAGATCTGTACCCTGTGGGAATAATTAATATCCTGACAGAAACTGGAAGGTATGCTGTTGGGAAGCTTTAGTCTCATCTACATAAAAACAAGGAAGCTTTAAGTCTCACAGTGTCCCAGCTGTGCACACGCAGAGAAAGGACTCTTTGGAAATTTAGCAGTCAAAAGAAATTCTTGCTGAACATGTGCAAACAGATGTTTTTTCCAGGCGTATAATTTTCTCAAATTTGATCAATGTCAGCAAAAAGCAGAATAAACACAGAGGTTAACCTGATGTGAACATGGAGGATCACATTTCTAACTGTTTTAATAGGACAAACAAAAATTTTAGGAAGGGCTGGTGCTGACACTTAGTTCATCTGAAGTACTCATACTGCTGCAACACGAGTAGTGTGTAGGAAGTACAGAAGGGAGTGAGCTCCATCTTCTGTTGCCCCACACAGATCATAGCCAAGGATAATATCTTACTGCTTGACGAGTTCAGTTTTTCATCTCCTGAAGGCTTAACAGGATTTTTCTGCATTCCATCTCAGAGGCATTCTTCCCATCTTTCTTTGCTACTCTACACTCTATAATCCTGACTAATCTCATTGCTGCTTGACACGCTGCCCTCTGCCCTTACCAGGACAGCTCTTAAGTGACATGCAGCACACATGCAAAACCTCTTGTGGGGAAAGAAAAGGCGAAACACTCAGGAAATGAACTACACAAAAAAGAATTCCCAGAGTTTTTGGTCATGGTTCGTCACCTTGCCAACCAGACATCAGAAAAAAGGACAAAGTGTTTCTCTTTGAGAGAAACAAGATCCAAAGCTTCCACCTCTCTCTGTTAAGAGCACATGCAAAACAGGGCACAGCCAGCCACACCACATTGGGGTTCAGCTTATCACTAAGCTTTGAGGACTACAGCCAGATCAAAGATGGGGATGAATTTCAAATTCTGATGGTGGATCCAGAAGATACTGACTAATTTTGGAAGTCTTTTATATATCTCCATGTTCTTCATACTATAGTCTTACATACTACTCCATCAACACCTAAAATATACTTTTCTTTTGTACTATTTACCTCACCTTTGAACGAAATGTTGGGTGGACAAAATACAGCGCCTTCAAGTTCCGCTTGTACCTGGTTTAGAGAAAGAAAAAATTATTTAAAAGTGACTCCTAATTAAGCTCACCTACACAAACCAACCGTCAAAATACAGATCATTTTGCTTAAGTGCTCGTGATGTAATTTTACAAAGTTAGATCTAATGTAAGTACAGATATCAGAAACATAAATGTAAAGGGAAAAAAAAACCCAGAATGATTATTTTTCAGGTAAAGACATCATAGTCTGCAGTCTTTTATGTAGACAGTGAAAGTTATGGACAAATTATGACTGCCAATATTACCCAAGCCTCTTCCCTCACAACAAGCAACATACTTTTAACAAAGCCAGGCTCCAGAAGCTCCACCCCTGGATAGAGACAGACAATACACCCAGTAAGCCTCTCTAACAGCTCCAGAAGGGAGATTTCAGAGGACAGAACTTCCTGGCTTAATAGATGGTTTTCAGATGGAAAGAAAACATATCTTCCTTCCTCTTGCCTTTGTTATTTATTTAGGTCTTTGTCCCAGCAAAACTCTCTCACAAATAAATGGGAAACCACATACAGTGAATGACAAACATTTGCATAGCACAGAGGAAGACCAGAAGGGGTTATTATCCTATTGACACTCACTTGGCATCAACAACATCATAGAGTTTCTTCAAGAAATTAGAGTCTAGTTGATTGTAATCATTTGTGAGCGTATGGAAGTACACCAGGACATATTCCTTCACTGCAATATGATCCATGACGTGGATGAAATACAGAAGAGCCTGAGACAGAAAGAAATCAAATTTGTATTTGCAAAGAACTCTTTCACAGTTGCATTACATCTTAATATGCTTCCTTTAATTCATTCACAAATCAGGAAGCATAAGGTTGGGTGGCATTATGTTTCAGCTATAAAAGCAAGGTGAACATTCCAAGTCTTCACCTTGACTGTAATAAACTTCAATTTTTTTTTTGTCTAGCGGACCTCAAAGAGGGAGATAAATTCTTACTGTTTCCATGAAAAACTAATTTGACTCGTTACATTTCACCCTTCATGTCTTGGCAGTTATAGAAGCAGGGCAAGTCTCTTTGATCTTGAGAAGAAAAAGGAGTCCATGTTAAGCCTGTTTTTCTAAAAATAGTCCAGTTCCACTTTGAAAAAAGCCACCCCAATACACACAAAGCTTTATAAGGCAATACATTTTTATCTGCCTATAAAAACAGTTTCTATTTAGTCTCTTAAGTTTTCTACAGATGTTGTTTCTAGTATTAACATATTATAATTAGACTCTTACATCCTGAACATTCATATTCAACCTACACAACTCTAGTTTTACAAAGCCCTACCTTTTCCATGTCTATCAGTGTTACTGGGATATTCCTTCCAACCACGACCATCACTGTCCGGCCACAGTTATCTACACCTACAAAAGAAAGAAAAGTATGTCTCTAAACTTCTCTCAGTCATGCCAGGTTTTGGACTTGATCCCTTTCAAACCAGGGAGAACCAGCTACAGCTCAGAATTTTTGCAACACATCTGGTTTCCATCTTAACAACAGAGGAAATATGCTTAGAGTTACTGTTCTCACTATACCAGTAGCTATTCTGATCCAAAAAAGGGTGCATCACATCCAAGAAACTTAAGTCTTAAGGACTGCAATTTTATGTTGCCTGTGTACTCCGTATTTACCTATATCTCAATTAATAACATGGTTTTTATAAAAAAACCCCAAAACCAACAGAAACCCAAAAACCTTCACTTGCAATTCTACCACCAATGCAAACTTCTTCCTAGAAACCAAGCTCTGAAATCTAATGCATAGATTCCCAGAGCATGCCATATGGACCTCCTGCAGCCCACAGAGCCTTGTCTAAGGCAAACAAAATAATTTAAAATTGCAGCTACTGAGTAGAAGGTATCATGCAGCCTTGGTATTTGCACAAAGATCAAGGTAAGTATCTGGATTTTCAGGAAGCCAAAGATATCAGCCAAAGGGCTGAATTTGCACGAAGATCAAGGTAAGTATCGATTTTCATGAAGCCAAAGATATCAGCCAAAGGGCTGAACAGACTTTCTCTGCAGAAACACAGCAATGCTTTTGAGGACCTGACTACCTGCCTGTTTCTTCCTGTCATGATGCAAAGCAGCAATAAGCCATTGGGACTATGGCAAGTTTTTATGTCCAAGTATGATGCTACCTAAAAAGTAAAAGTGAAATGAAGAGTATAGGTTCCCCATCTCTGCTTCCCAGGCTGCGAGGACCTCACAGCTATTTTTTTCCACTGAACTCTCCATTGGGTTGTTGAATCTCTCCCCGACCTCCCCATCTACTGAACTCAAGGTTGCAAGATGTACTGCCCAGGGTACTCAGCCATTAGTACAAGGAGACACATACAGAGGAGAACAACACACACCTAACCTGAAGGAAATAAAGCAAGTCTTCTTGTTCAGGAAAGCTGTATTAAAAGTTGCTTTGGTAACTGCTTATTCTCTACACTAATCGTCTAAAAGCAACATGCATTTCTTTGTAACAAAAGTGTGGAGATAATTCACATCAAAAGAAGAACTATCTCATACAGAGCACCTTATGCATTGGCTTAATCTAACAGTACCAATTTACATCTAAAGCTACAGATAATTCAGGATATGCATGTATCCACAGATTGTTAAAGCAGAGCAGTTTGGGAGTTAACCACACAGTCTTTCAAAGCCAATCAAGACAGAATTCCTGCTTTATTGCACAGGTGTTGCCTAGTTCTTGGCCAGGCTTCTAGCTTAATAACATGACTTACTGTATACTCAGGTCCAAAGAAAATATTATATTTTTATTTTGTATTTTTACTTTAAGACAATATAGACCAGTCATTGGAACCCTGAACTTACCTGTCTGGTACAAGGCTTTAAGAGAAGCAATATCAGAGAGGTCTTCAGCTCTTGCCTGACACAGCCAGCGATTATAACTAGAAAGTTAAAAACATTTAGTCAGATCTAATCCCCCTTTGGATTAGCATTAGAACCTGAAGAGGTATATGGGAAGGGAAGGACAAAACAAGCTCTTTCTGACTGAGCCCCCTCTCTAATGTTGTGGTTTTCTGACCTATGCAGGAACTATCAAGTTGTTAAAGGAAGAATTTGGGGGGTGGGGGAGAGGGAGATTTGAGTGGTGTAGTTACACACCTAGTGATTTTCACTAGGGCAATGAATACACACCAACTAGTAACTATGGAGGCATTGCATTTGGGCTGAAAAGATCTCAGAGTTTTTTCCATTTAAATACCTCAGTGTTTAAAAAATAATAAAAAAAACCAAGAAAATTTCTTTCACAAGTCTAGAAGTCAAACACAACTATGTAGCAACCAGTGTCACATGGATTTCCCCCCTGCCCCTCTCCTCTGAATGGTGAACAACTTAGTGCCTCATCTGACAAAACAAGCCAAGCATCAGGACTCCAGAAAGGAAGAGGAAAAAAAAAGAAGCCTCAGCATTCATTTATTTATCTTTCTGTTTTGAAAGATGGAAGAAAAATGTTTTGCTGTCTGCTGAGAGCCTCAGTTGCAAGTGTGCAGTATTGAAAGCAGGTGAGCCCATTACAAAAAGCAGTGACAATACAGTGACATCTTGTGGCAAAGAGATAAGGCAGCTGGTTGGAGTATGCTAGTGGGTTCATCACTAGCTTCCCTTTTCCTCCTCCGGCCCCTTCCCTTCTCCTTTCTGGCCAAAGAGACTACTACAGCGATCCAGGGTGACACCAGGCTTTATCTGCATTTCCTTGCCAGCAGATTAGGCTTTACAGATAACAAAATCATCATAAAGGTCTGTCCTCTGAACAGCTAACTAATGCAAAACATTCACACGACAATGAAATTCTCACTTCCTCTGATGCTGTTTTTGCAGTGCTGCCTCTGACAACTGTCCCTGAAGGATGAGGCGTCTCTGTTTATCAACGTCTCCCTCCATACGGGCAAAAGCATGGGAACCAATGAAAGACAAATCTGCCTCCAGACCCTCTTCATCTGAAGCATCTGCAGTAGAAACAAAGGTAGTGTAAAATGTTCAAGCTGCACACAAAACAGCAATGCTGCTGATGAATTGCTATATATCTCAGTGAGCCAAGCCAGTTGTCATGCTAAAAACTAACACAAAAACCCACAACGTACCATGATGCGGCTCTGATATCTCGCCAGTACCACTGACAGTTTATAGCAAGCAATTGATAACTACGGACTCCCTTAAAATGTTGGTTTGTCTGGAAACTAACTGGGCAAGTCCTAGTCATCAGCTTGTAACAAAGGGGTAACAGTTAACTCTTTCAAAAAACAAGGTCTGGAGAGAGTGACTTGGGCTTTACAGTTATCCTACTTGTCACAGGGGGGAAAAAAAAAAAAAAAATCAGTATGCAGAGGGACAGATGCTGCAGCTTTATTCAGTTTAGAAGCCGTGCTATAGAGAGGGCTCATTTCTTTCTACATCATTGACACTGCTTGAACAGATGCTGTAGAGCTGGTGGTAAACTGAGTTTAGATATTTTTATAGTATTGTTTACAACATGACTGTGTGATGAAATACAAGAGCACAGGCTTGCTTGCTGGTGACAATACCAGAATGCTCCACTGAACTTGATGTCATCAGGGACTACTGCCAAGGCTTCTAGCACTACCTCTCTGGGCAATTTGGATAGGAAATGGGTTTCCCAGTTTTAGTGTGACATGCTATAATAACAATGGGACAAAAGTGCAGGATTCCACTACACCCATTTGCTCCTACATTTGCAAACCCAATAAGTTCACAAATTATTAGCTAGTGCTTGAATGCATCACGTTGATCAGCCACAGTTGCAAATACGGCTCTAACCAGCAGTTTGGACAGGGGCGAGGCAGGAAGATTGGAGTCTAATCAGCAGGGGTAGGTACATCAGGTATCAAACTGTGAACAGGAAAATTAAGTTGCCTGTATCCTCACTGCATATTCAGCCTTATCCCAACTGGCCATGCAAAAGCAGAAAACCTTTGCAACCCATTCCAAGTTATCTGCTTTTGATGGTTTAAGGCTTCACCTGAAGAAATGTAAAACTTTCGCAGCACCGCTTAATAAATAAGGTAGAACGTGGCAGCTATGCCCATTTATATGTTAAATTGTTTTGCCACACGTATCTCACCTCCTCAACATCTATGCAACCTCTTTACAAACAGACTTCTTTCACTGAGCTTTGACAGCCATTTCCCAAATGCTAATCTCTGGGTTGATCTATTCCTTCTATCTTCTAAGGAGTTTCTGCTACTTTTCATTGAGCATCTACTAGTTTGATGGACATGCTGTATGAACAGAATCTTATCATTTGAGACACTTGCTAATACATAGACAACACTGCTAATATATAAGATAGACCATTAACAATAACGCCTTTTTAAGTTAAAGGCTGCACAAGATTGTGCAAAAAAACTGCAAAGGTCCTAATCACTTTGGGAGAAAATTTGCAAAGGGAATGAACTACTCCACCTCTCCCTTCAAGAAAGAAAAAGGCAGAACAGCTCTACTGCATCCTCTAACCACATTGCTCTACACAACGAGACAGAAAGCAGAAGTTACTGCTGTGGAGCACACGAAGCCAACGAGGCAGCCTTACAACTGTCTTTATTATAGTCTGCCTTAGGTGAGGTGGAGTGGAAAAACATCTTTCTGCTACCCACGTGCCTTTTCTGTTTTTTCCATTGACTTTCACACAGAGATACTTATTCCAAAGTTCAGTTAAGAACTCACCATCTGGAACACCTGGCTTTTCAGTAATCCTGATCTGCCGCTCTGGTACTACAGGTTCCCCTTCCGCATTGCCAATATCTGCAGGGAGGTAAGGCAAGGATTGTATCTCTTCTTCCAACGATCTTGGAAAATACAGAGGCAGCAACTTCTGGTAAGTGGCCTACAAATAAGAAAAATGCGTGAAGCGTCTATCACGCATCCTTGCTCTTCACTTAAGTAACACTTGCCCTTGTAGCAGGGACCTTCTCAGCAGTTTGGAGCAAAGTACCATTTCCCTCAATGGCTTATTTTGGGCTGTTACCTGTCAATAAAGGCAGGTAACCTTGCTGATAAAGGTTAACTCTTTTTTTTGCCACACTGGCAAAAGACCTTGAGAGGACTCTGCTTTAACCTGCATGAACTCTGGTAGATTGCAGATACTTTAGCTTTGCAATGAAGTTACAACATGCATGGGTGACAGACTTCAGCAAAAGCTGCTTATATTAAAATGCACTGTTACACACATTACCTTTAGTGATCTGACTGGGGGAAAAAAGAAGCAGCAACAAAGAAGAAAAACCCTCCTCACACAGAGGAAAATAGAGAATATCTCTACTGAACATTGTAATACTTCATGTGTTCTCTCCAACTGATTAGTTGTTTTAGAGCACCACAACAGGTTAGTTATTTTCCTCATCCAGATGCCACAGAACCTGAACACAGTGTGGGTGTTCTGCGCAGGAACTGCCATTAGCAAGTCCGCTACACAAGAGAAGTCAATATCCAAACTGCCAGCATCTGACTGAACACAGCTCATTAAACATCAAGTTTGTTATTTCAACAAGCCAGCAAGCAACTTTTAACATGTTTGTAGGTGATCTGTGGGCATGCTAAACTGGCTCTTCTAAAAGCACAAGGGAAGCAGTATTGTGTTAAGGAGGGAATCTTGTATGAGGAATTTCCTTTCTGGTATTGGTTCCTGTTCATGGCTCAGGAACACAGAAGCTAGAAGTGGAAAGATTCTGAACATGTCCATAGCGACCCCCAAGAGCATAAACAGTACTGGAAAAGATGTTATGCTAGCAGGAGACAGAAGGATGCTGTAGGACGAAAAGTCTATGTGATCTGAAGGGGAAATCCGAATTCAGCTCTACAATGCAGGAGTTAATACTGCTGCAGAGAAGATTAAACATGCCCGTGAATTTTGGTGGAATGAACGTCAAGGAGATACCTCTTCAAGCTCGGAGACTGCGAACACCACCTTCTCTAGAGTCTCTCCATGAATCTCCAGGAACCTTCTAACCGTGCCTGCAAGGAAGAAGTTTAAATGTAGTTAGCAAAACAAGAGGAGAAATTTATACATGCTACTCCAAGTGAGGAAGCCAGAGTGCAGAATAGACAGACACATCTCTCCTTATACAAAATAGCTCTACAAGCTGTATGCAAGTGTGGATTAAGTGGTAGTTTACCACACCAAATGGGTTGTTGGCCAAATTGGAAGTTCTATCTCTACTCTCTCCTGCTGTTCACTTTAGAGATGGATACAAAAAGAGAAAAAGTCTCTCTGATTTTAGCGTACTAGGTATTCCTCAGTCTGTGGAATGTTATTCTATAGCCCCGCAAAATCAAGACAAATCCTTCCTTTACAGAGTCCTGTGCAAATTGCCAAAACCAGACATTCCTAGAACAAGTCATCACGCCCCAAGTTATCAGGAAAGCAAGATTATAAGTAAGCTACAGCAGAAGCTGGTACAAGACAGTCAGCCACACAAAACCTCTGGAGTCAGCTATGCCAAAGAAGCATATAAAAGTTATATTTGTAAAACATGAGAAAATTTATTTCCTCAATTACTTTTTTTCTTTTTTGGACTCCCCCAAAGCTTTAGCATAATCCATGGACACAGTCAAGTTCCTAACCATTTGCAGCTGAGAGGAGAAAAAAAACGTTTTGTAACCAAGCTTCCAGTCGGACATATCCTTGTACAGGTGAGGCCCCGGAGCTGCAACAATCTTGACACGTCAGGGGTTTCATGTGCTTTCCTGTCTGACTGCCAAGAGAGAAAGTGTCCAAACAAATAGGTTGATCTAGTAGTATTTTATCAAGTAGCATATAGCCCTACAGAGACAACAGAAGAGAGCAATGAAAGAAAGAAGTCTACTCTACAGAGAATACATTAGCTTGAGTTCTTCAAGAAACAGCAGGGGTGGAGATTTAAAAAAAAAAAAGTGCGCTACTTTCAAATACTTCCTGCACTGAAATTCATGTGTCCTTGAGCTGACATGCAACACTACTTTACGGGACAAATGCAGTTGTGTGGCTCCACAGCAAACAGTTTTCTGAACCTATGTGAGCAGATGTTTTCAGATGTCTCAATCAACAGGCAGACAGCAGAGAAAACAATGGATTAATCTGTTTCTCCAGTGTCAGCACCTCTGCTAAACAGAGGGTAAGAAAGATTTCTCCAGTTAGTTTGCACAGCAAGAGGAAAACCCACTCCTTCCATCTGCAACAACTTTCCTATTGTGCAAGAGTACCATGCAGGAAGGTCCAGGGACTGGGGGGTGGTGTTGGAAAGCAGACAGGAGCAGGCCAATAGAAAAAGTCAAAAGAGAAAAGGGAAAAGTAAGAACCAGGCAAGTATATAATATTCTTCTCTGAGCACTTTTAAGTATTTTCAGCCTAGGAAATTTTCTGATTTGTTTTAGGTAGCCTTCATTTTTTTCTTTAATATAGTTTCCTCTTGAACCCAAACAAGTTTGAAAACTTTCAGCATCTACAGTGCTTTTTGTTAAGAAGTTCCATGCAACAAATAGTGTAAGCATAAGAACCATTTCCCCTCGTTTGTTCTGAATCTGATTCATACTAGCATTGTTTGAAGGTTCTTATTTTGGCAGACAGTGAAAAGCTGATTCCTATTCATCATTTCCATGCCACTCATGAGTTTACAAACATCTATCACACTCCCTTCAAGTTCAGTGTATTCCAGTCTGAAAAAGATTTTAGCTTACTTAACTATTTCTTGCCTTTCCCTATTCTTATTGACCTCCTCAACTTCTAGTTCTATGCCATTCTTTTTGAATATGTAGCTTTAAAGGGTGAACAAAACACAGATTTACAGCATAACATTCTTAATTTTGTTGTGTCTTACTCAGCTTGCTGTTTTGAACTCCAGTGAGCTGTTGTTTTCATGGAACTATTATCATTTCAAGATTTTGCTCCCTAGGATTAGCCCATTATTTTGCATGTGAAGGCAACAGCATACGGGGGTGGGTCAGTGGTGGAATAATATCACTTTACATTTGGATATGCTGATGACACTAAAATAGTAAATGAAATTCACTCTGTTGCTTGAGGTCTGTCTACAGCTATTCAACAGTAAGCCTTCATCTTTGCTATTCTCAACAATTTTCTATTACCAGCAAACTCTTTCACCTCACTGTTCAGCATCTTTTCCAGGTTATTAATTAATATACTGAAGATGGCAATTCCAGCACAGATTCCCATGGATCTTTACTGATGACCTCTCTGCAGAGAAAGGATCATTTGGTTTTATCCTCCATTTCCTGATCAACCATAGAAGGTCCTGCCTTTTTATAGCCTCTACCAAAGTACAGCCCCGTAAAAAAGGGGGTTTCCCCATATGAATAGCAGTCTGCCAGAGGTAAGTGATCTGCTGAATACTGCCATCCAGTTTATGTTACTTTTCAACAAACTTACGCAGTGCTATGTGGGTTGCATCCTCCAAGGGGTAGCATCTTTTCAGAGAGTTAATGACACAAAATCCTACGGAGCACATTGCCTGTTCCCTGAAATCCAAAAAAAGAGAAACAAATTAATAGACGGTCAGATGACAGCAAATGTCTGTCAGTACAGTAGACAACACCAGTGCTTTTTTTCCTGCCTCTATGCAGCAGCAACTTTCCTTCAGGTTTTTGCAGAAGGATTCTTCTCTGGCAATATGTATACGTACCACCCTTAAGCAGAGAAGGAGGGAACCATTAATGATTCCACACTGTTTCCTCTTGTGTTTGTTCTCAGATTTCTCCTTCTACCTCAGCTATGCTGTTCCTGCAGTTTCTCATATCCTGAATGAGGAAGTTCTTCCCTCAAGCTCCCTGCAATCCTTTACAAAATACTTTCCTTCCTGTATAGGATTGACAGTGAGGAGAAGGAGGGGAAAACAAGGTGCTCTTTATTGCAAACATTCTCCTGTTCCTCCACCTGTCCTATCACTTGTTTTGTTAGAGGTTTGGACACAGACCAAGGTGGCTTACTCAAGGTGTGATTACTAGGTATGATTAGACAATCATCAGCGTGGAGTGATACACACTTAAGATCAGCAAGATGCTTCCAGCAGAGTGCCACATTTTTAGAAGAGTAAAGCAGAGGTGTTGGCTGGTGTTGTCACCAGAAGAGTTTGAGCAAGCTTAGAATTGGTAGACAATTTCACAAGCGTCAAAAGTTACTCTAGAGAATAGATTGACTGAAAGGCATTCAGAATTCTGTAAGCAGAATTATCAGAATTTTTAAATTGTTTTTAACATGTTTCAATTCAGGCCTGACTTCGCTTGTTACTTCTGAGGCTGAACAAAACTCGCACATACTAGAAATCTTAGCTGTACTCTTGATTATGAAACAGTTACTATTGCACTGCAATGCACAGTCCAGACTTGGAAGAACTGATCTTTCCAACCCTAAGAAATTGTTAAATGTATTTTCTGACATTGCTCTTGTTCAGGTATTTTTTGTGACTGCTACCATTACAACAGCTGTCACGGGAGAACAGAATGCAGGAAAGAACACAGAAAAACAGAAAGAAAAAACCTGTTAGCTAAGAGGAAGTAGAAAACACCACAGATAAAAGAGAAAAAACTGCAAACCCAACTGCAGCAACCGTGAGTTTAGAAATAACCTTGCACCCTGACTCAAAATTTTAGATGGCTGTTGTACAAAGGTAGAGACTCCAAATACATGAACTGATACAGCAGTCAGATCTGCCTGTGGGTATGTCCATGTGGCTGCAGAGACACATGAAGCTGCTGCTTGAGCAAGCTCATGTAAACTTTTTGCAGCACGGAACCTAATGCAATTATCAATGCTGCTTCCTCTCAGAGTAACTGAATGATGCACAGCTCTAGCTACACTGTTTCAGGACGTGAAGCAACTCAGATCTCTCTGGGCATTTTACCTACACCGCACCACAGATAACAAAAGGCATGAAGTATACCATGAAGCCACTCATGTTCTCATGTCCTTAACCAAATTCAGTATACATGAGAAGATATTCACAAACACTTGGCCTCTGTGCAGACCTGAGCACCTAGAACAGATGTTCATGGATAGCAAACCCTCATGTAAGTCGTCATTTGCTTACTTTGCAAGCTGCAGGACATTGCGGTAACAGCTGTATAGAGAACTCTCGGCTGCTGTGCGATACCGGCTTTTGTATTTGGGTCCCACAGTGTGAATAATGAAACGTGCAGCCAAATTAAATCCTTTGGTGAGTTTAGCTTCGCCTGTCCTGCACCCTGAAAAAAACAAACATGAGGATAAATGCCAATGTCCTAAGAAAGCTAGAAGTATTCAAGCCCTTGACTTCCTCCAGAGTCAGACAACTCCACTTTATATAGAGACATCAGTATTTTAGACATCAAATATTAAGGATAGCATTCTATCTCATAACAGCTACTGAGCATCACCTAGTCAGGTTGAGGTGGTGAGAGCTGTGCTCATTCCTCTCAATTTTAAAACTATGCACATAAGGACAAACCAGAAATTGCTAGAAATGCTGTCTTAATTGCAGTGCCTACTATGCTACATACAGAGCCAAAAGGAGAAATGATTCAACAATGTGCAGAGAACTGATGCACAAATACGCTATACAACCAGCAATACAAAGTCCTTCTGAATTTAACAACTTAGTTTGGGGAGACTGATTTTTGGATAAAAGGACTACAAATCTCCTTAATCAAACCCACCAGCTGTTGGCAAAGCTATTAAAAATGAATAGATCAAGCACTTGTTTCATCCACGCTCCCAGAACAAGGTAGCTTGCTTTGTTTTGCAAGTTTCTTCATGTCCACAAGGCAGAACTATGATTCTCATGGAGATCATACTTTCTTGACAGACTAGATGCCTAGTCTCAAGGCAAGGAAGCTCAAGCAACACATTTAATTGTTCTGTTCACAGTACCCTCCAGGTACATACTCTAGGATCATTTACTGCATGCTAGCATACTTTACATCTTTACCTCTTTTTGGATTGGACTGCTCTTTGGCTATCCCCTACAAGTTACTCATATGTAATTCCTGTAATTTTTCGCAAGGGAAATCAGTTTGTCAGAACCCTTGATGACATCCATAGACCTCTCTCTTCCCTTCAGTTTGTCAATACATTTCTGATAATGAAAAAAATCCAGGAACAGCTACTGTATTTGAAGTCTGCTTTTTCCTTGGCATTTAGAAGAAAAGTCTGCTAACTCCCCTTCTTCACCCAAATCTAAAGTCTGCTCCAGTTCTGGACAGCTGAAGAAGTTTTTCTAGTCTTTCTCTTTAAAAGATAAGTATTTTCCACCTTCTTCCTTCTGCTTGTACAGCTGCAATTCAGCTTTCTGATCTGGCTGAAAACCAATATTTTCACTGGATTAGCTTTCAACTTGATCTTCTAGGTTGCTAGAGCCCATGAAAAGGAATGAGACATGAACAAGTGGCTGTGACCACCCTTCTGGCACCAGCATTGCAGTAGCTTGGCTTAAGTCAATCATGAAGCTGCCCACTGAATAGCAGCATTCACCTCTCCCACTCCACTCTGTTCCTTGTGGCGCTCAGGCAGGCTACCAGCATGCATGAAAGCATATTTTATGGCAAGAGACATGCCAGGTTGAGAATCTCTCTTACTCAGAACTTTAAGCATGTCTTTTTAATGGTAACAACACTTGCCTTTAAGCCAATATCTTGTGATTTATTGGATCAAAAAGTTTACATCATTACCTTCTATAGACCTCCACCTTGTCTCTTCTGGGTTAATCAGAAGGAATATAACAGCATACTAAAACTAAGCATACTCTTCTGAATTACTGCGCATCCTCTAAGACATCTCAGCTCAAGACAGTAACTAAATAAGCACAGTATGGAAAAAGTAGAAACTAAAACTGAAACAATATATCAGATATCAAATTACTATTCTTCCTCTGTGGTCCATCCAAGTCATACAACTTAAAAAGAACAAGCCTTTTCCTGTAGGAAAAACTGTCTTCTGAGAAAGAATGAATTAAGTTTGACTGAGGTATAATTGTGAATTCAGTCACGAATCTAATTAATTCGGACAACCAGATGTAGCATCAGTAATCTCTAACTACACTTACATCACACTCAGTACTTCCCAATGCTTTCTGCCTATAGATCTCTACAAAATTTATAAAACTAAAATGAGCAGCAAGTATTAGTCCTATTTTAAGACCCAGTGTGAGGTGAGCTAGTAGAGTGAGCTGCACAGGTCAAGGTCTGCAGCAAAACTGGGAACAAAGTCAAGATCTTGTTTTTTATCTGATGAGATTTCAAACATTAGAAGAGCTTCTCTCCAAGTTTAAAATGGAAAGTCTGCATCCTCCATATAAAGTGTGCAGTGGAGAAAGTCTCATTGGAGTTAGAAGACTACTATGCATTGCTGTTACAGAAGGTCTTTATTAGAGTGCAACAAGTATGTGTTGATAGGCAAGCACACGTCAATAGCACTTCATTTGCAAGCCTGGACCCTTGGCTGTAGTATTTCTGTGTTAATCAAAACTACACACTGTGCCCAGGAACGCACAAGTCAGCTGAGCCTTAAATAAAGCACAGGCCTTTGAAAGGTCAGCACGTAACATAATTTAATTTTTCTTGAAGCCTATAAAATATGAATATATACCAAGCAACAGGAGAGAACTAAGTGAAAATTGCCAATGCACCCATTTTACAGCTTCACCGCAAAAATCATACATTTTCACTTTTTCAGCAAGAACATTCTCCTATGATAAAAGTTCAAGGTTAAATATGAATGAGCGCTAAAAGAAGGCAGAGGTGAACAAAAGAATCATAAACTAATTTCTCAACTAAGCTCTCTTCCACTTCTGCTACTGTGGCAAACACATTAAGGGTGCACAAAAGCCGAAGCTGTAACCCACCCTCTCCTTCCTCCTGCATGCAACACGCCAGTAGAGTGTCACAGCAGAATCGATTTCCAAAAAGCACTTGTCACAAGATTAAAAGGAAACTGTCCGTATAGGAAGTCGTGAACCTGCAGAATGCGTTACAGAGAGAAGACATCAGTGTCTTCACAGGGGTGGAGGATGCAAAACCACATACAACTCAGCATGGTATAAGGGAATTTAAGAAGCTAAGCCCAACTTTCACAAATAAGTCCCTAACAGATCTCAAATTTTGAGGACTCGTTGAAATGTTGTCCCTCTTTCCCCACGTCACAGTGCACACAAGAACCCCAAGTTAATTTTAGAAGAGTTCTGGCATAGATAGCAGGGTCCTAAGTACTCTAAAACATCTGCTGTATTTTAACTGTTATTTTCACCTGAAGGACACACTCACTTTTCCCCTCTTCCTCCTGTTTTACTTCCAAGTCACTCACAAAAAGCAAGCTGAATCATAAATATATGATTTTATAAAAACAGAGGATGTCTATTCAATTGTAGTTTAAGCTACTGAGTGTTTGTATTAAAAATATTATGGCTCTTCTAACCATTTTGTTACTAAATGATAAGGAGATAGAGTTGTTACCTGAGAGTGAGCAGTACTACTCAGGGATCAGTTGCGTCTCAAAATTCAGCTCAGTACCAACGTTACTAGAAATGTGAATTTTTACCTGCAAACTCTATTAGACTTCTGTATGACCTTGGATAACTATAAACTCTTTGGTCCTCACACATAAAATAAGGAAATCCTTCTCTAACAGGCACTGGGAATAAAGCTGAGTATTTCTAAATCTCACGATCAGCCATAAACTCTGTTAACAAAGAACCTAGGTAAAGTAAACTTCATCCATTTCCAGAATAGCCTTCCATTAGGGATGGTCTTGTAACTTTCTAATAAAGTAATTTGTTGTGCAGAAGACGCAAATGAACAGAAAAATTTAAGTAGTCACTAAGACTTCATTTAAACATGTAGTATTTTATCAATCCTTCTATTATTGCCATAGTTTCCTGGAAGAATGTGTGTGTGTATTAACATCCTGAAAGAGGATATACAAAGTGTATAGTAGAATCCACTTGATTTCTGCAATGGTGAACTTCAGTTCCTGTCTTCCACAGTGTATATACACCAAACAGGATAAGAGCAAAATCTAAAGATGCACAAGACGAGTCCCTTGAGTGAAAGCTCTGATAAGCTAATTACTCTAAGGGGCTTCAGATAACAATGGGAATTAATGTATTGCAAAGTAAGGGCTCAGCAACTCGAACGTCTGCCACAGATTTTTCAATGATCTGTAATCTGAATGGCAAAAAGAGAATAGATTGGCATGTGTTTCCTCCATTTCTTTCACATTAACACCACAGGTTGGGGGGG